GTGTTGTTTTAGGTATTTTTCGCAATGTTTTAAATAAATATAATCATTAATAAATTTAAAATTAAAAGATGAGCGCATAAGTAAACAATAAAATAAATTAATATAATAATAAAAAATACTTAAAATTAAATAAATTAATAATATTACATTTATTCAGAAAAAAAATTAATTCTTTAATAGTGGTAAATTACTCTGTTTATGGAAAAAACAAATACTTATGTATTTATTCCACATTAAAAGAATGTATGAATTATTTTGCCAAAAAAAAAATAATATTGTAATTCATGTCATATATTATATTGTAATTCATAAATATCATGTCATTATATTTACATAATTGATATAAAAATGTGCTATGTGTGATATAGTAATAATTGAATATTATAACACATATATTAAAAAAATGGTTTTGCACACCTTTGGAAAATGGTTAGTCAGCGCACATAATATAAGTTATAACATATTTCAATAATATATAAAAGCATTTAAAAACATTTAAATATTATGTTTATATTAATTAAGTGAATATATAAAAGTATATCCCAAATTATTATGTTTATTATAATCATAATAATATATTCAAAATATGTACAATTTATTTTTTAATAAATGGTTTAATTTCTAAGCTTAAGTCCAAAAGTTATCCTCAGACATATTGCTTTACAAAAAATCTATACACACTATAGTCTATATCTATATCTATAGTCTATAACTATAGTCTTATGGACAACTCTTTTTTGAGAAGCTCATAGAACTATTAGAAACTAATGCCAAAACTCACAACAAAATTTTAATTAAAAAATTTTTCACTAACGTGGTAATAGTAGGTCTTGAATAAGGAATACAGATGTGATAGAAAATTTTTCTAATATACGAATAACCAAATAATTAGGACGGGATGTATTAAGTGATCTAGAGTAATGTAGTAGGTCCATAAGCGATCTACATTAATTTTGAAATATAGACTTCGTTTTAAGTTTAAACTAACCAAAGTCAAGTAAAATTAATTTGTTGTGGTTATTAAGATACTCTTCAATTCGAAATACACCCATCACAGATACCATCTTTAAGTATAAACGATCACATAACTAGGAGCTAGTCATCTTATAATAGAAACTTAAAGATAATGCAATGAACAGGTAGACAGTCTATATTGAGTCTATAAACATAAATCCTCTAAGTTAAGAAAAATCAATTGGTTGAAGTGATGTAAATACTTTTACGACTAGGAATACACATATCATAGGAACATTCTTTTATATACGGGATTCAAAATAGTTCGAAATGTGACATATATTAAAATCTTTACGGTACAAAACCTAGAGAGGAGGTTAAGTGGAGCTTGACATACAGATTAGGACTTAAACCTAATATAATCAAATTTAACAAAAAATAATCCAACTAATAAAAAGTAATGTAAGCTGCGCTTGAATTATGAATGCACATCACAAACACCTTTTTATATAAAAACAATAAGAGTTGTCGGGTAGTTTAAGTGATGTACATTGAGTATGGCTATAGTTTTCGTCTTAAACTGTATCGAACTTAAGTCAAAGAAAATAAATTGGTTAATTGATTTTTAATTGATAAATTAATAGGATTATATTGGATTTATTTAATAATTTGGAGAGAAACATCATGCACTAAGATCCGTAGGGTTCCACAACGAACCCACAGACGGTCTGTATTGAATTTAATGTACAAAAGCACGTTTAGCCAAACATAAGTCAATAAATATTAATTGATTGAAGTTATGTTAATGTACACATCACGTAAGCGCTTTTATTTTATATTATTTTATATTTACATCCAGATCTTTAGATCAAATCTTTAGATTTGACATATAGATACATCATCAAATTTGCCCTTAGCTATTTCAAGAAATATTAATTGTTTAAAGTATATATCTATTGTAGTTGGAAACTATATAATAATCAAAACACTTATAACAGAAACCCTATTTCTTTAGAAAGAACTAAGTCATTAGGAGGAAAACATCTTATACCCAACAGCTTGGATAACGCAACGGACCTGTCGTGTGGATCTACATGAAGTATATAAATACCCCCTTCATTTTAATCTTATCTCAGTAATTAAATTATTAAATTTTCTTTCCAAATATAGTAAGATATTCTGTGTAATATTAAAGATTTATCGAAATACGGTGTTAATTGAATATGTAGTTGCAAGTCATTCAATTGCGCTCAGTTCCTATTCTTATGTACTCGTCATATGTACTGACTTACTTGAGAATCTTGAAACTGGTATGGTAACTATATTAGCTGATTTGCTATGTTTAGGTGTGGTTAGGTCCGGATGTCTTATTTGAGGCAAGCCATTAATTTAGGAAATGCATACAATTCAAGTGTATATGGAGGTTATGTTCATGAAAATATACAATTTTAAAGTCTGCAAGATAATCAGGTAATGGTAATGTACCGTAATGTAATGTATGCATTTTTCTATTTTGTACTAAACTGGAGTTCTACCTAACCTAGTAAGAATAGATGTGGTCCAAATTGATATGAGTAATTCGTCTATAAAATTTAAGCAAAATGTTAAACTTTTGAATATTTTCATTTAAGGGAAAAATTAGTTAATTCTTCCATGAAATATATAATCAACCCACTTTAACACAAAACCAGCTAAAGATTCGTCTACATCTAGCAACTGCCAAAAGGTATGCAGACATATACACACTAAAAAATTACCTCATATTCCCAATGAGGCGTTAATAGGTCTACCCACAAAATAGAGTAGAGGTGCTGGGTTACCCTAACTCGAATAAAAAATAAGACAGCAAGATATTTTCTTTCTTTTATGAGCTTATATGTATATATATGGTGCAACGTTGGGACAGCGCACCGTCCAACATGTGGCCCCACTGAAGTGAAGAATTAGCCGCAGTAGACCACGAAACTGCTTGGGTCCTTTTTTGTCCTTTTATGAGTTTAAAATGTCTATGTATGTATCTGGGTACATACATATATCCACCCATTTTTCAAACAATTGTTAATTAAATTCTATACTTTAATAAAAACAAATAAATGATTAAATAAATTTTTAGTATTTTAAGAACCAGAAATTTTGTTAGAAATTTTTTTTTGCATATATATTTATCTATTTTGTATTATAAATTAGAATTCAATTATTAATAAAAAATTATTGAAAATAAAATAAAAAATTTTATTATAAGATTATTAATAAAATATTATTATTTTATTGATTTTATCTTATTTTTATTATATTATTATTAATATATATTTATATTATTAATATTATTTTTATTATTAATAAAATAATATTATTTTATTAATATTATTGTAATAGTTTATTATATGCTAATTCATATATATACGTATTTATAATTTTTAATAAATTTTTTATTATTACTTCTGATTATACTTATATATATTTATTTTATTATAAATATTGTATTATAAAGTAATATTAAATTATAAATAAAAAATCATCAAAAAATTAAATAAAAAAATTTATTATAATGTTATTAATAAAATTATTCTTGACTATTATTCATATATATACATATTTAAAATTTGTTATAAATTTTTTAAAAAATTACTTATGATTATTGTCATTTGATAAAGGAATAATAATATTTTCTTTTTTATTTCAGTTATCACTGCAGACAACATGAATAATTCTCAGTGAAATTCAAATGACTTTTAATTAAAATATCTTATTTGTATAAAAAAAACAGCCAACATTAATCAAAATACTAACAATTTAAACTATATATGAAATATCTAAAGACCAAATAAAACAAAAAAAAATATAAATAAAAATTAACACAAAGTGGTGCCACGAGAGCAAAGTATCTGCAACTGTTATGACATGTGAAATTAATTGAAAAGAATCTTTTGTGTTTGTGCAAATAAGAACAGAAAATAAACAAACATTCCAAATATGAGCAAATGCAATTCATCTCAGCTAAAAAAAGAATAAAATAAGTAAAATACAAGAGATATAAACCAACTAAAACTAAAAGATACGACAACAACAACAGCACTAACAGTTAAAAATGAAATTTTAAAAATGCAATAATAATCAAAATATTAAAAACGTTTTGTGTGAAATGATATGAAACAAAAGTTTTAATTAAAAAAAAAAATTAATTTCTTTGTGATTTATCGATAAAATATAATTCTTTTCAAGTGTACGCAAATGTATCTGCCAAGGCGCTGTATCTGCAAACGGCAAGTCGGAGTTTGGCATGCGGCAGGAAATTATTAATAATGCCCGAAGTTTGGTTCTATGTGGATTTTGGTGCCATAATCATAAGCATTCCGTAAATTATATCTGTGGGTGCAAACAACATAATTCTATCATAAGCAAGCACATGATTTTTGCTTCACGATACTTTATGAATGTATTTTCGGTTGTTTAGCATAGGCAACGAACCAAGCCAAGCAACAGATACATTTGCCAATTTAATTTATGAAACGGAAAATTGTACCTTCACATTCACTACCAAATAACTAAGTAAACAAAAACAATAACAACAACAAAAACACAGACATAAACTACTGATTGAAGAGGAAAGTGCATACTGCATACTGCATTCATTTCATCTACCAATTTCTTGTGTGAATTTTAGCACATTTCTCGTCTGCTACATAGCGATTGCAAGTGCAATTGGAAGTGCAATTGTATCTCAACTGCTTCTCCTGCAATGACTTGAGCTGTCATAAAAAATCAATTTGAGATTTTTTTAATATTTGCCACATAAATATACAAATGTGCACATTTATAGTTTTTGAGTATCCATTAAAAAGCTGTTTCCTTAGAGATATAATGCATTAGATAAACAAGCGCACAGATACTTTTTGTTTATTGGAAATTAAGCTCGTTATTTTATGAGATACGCAACACGTTAACATAGAGAAATTGTTGTTTTGAAAGGAAAAGTGTTTTAAAAATAAATGAATTTGTTGATTTTTATATTTCATCTTCAATCAATCTATCTTCAACTCAAAAAATATGCTTAATAGCATTTTTGATGTATTAATTTCAAATAATTTCAATAATTGCCAATTAACGAAACAAAGCGAAGTTCAGATAAAGTTGAAAATGTCTGCAAAGAAAATCAAAAATAATTACCAAAAATTTGGCGTCCTCTGGAGTAGAAATTTTATAATTGCCGGATTAATGCTATTTATGCTGCTAGGCAATGGTAAGTAGTTTCTCAGATAGATTTTATTCTTAATAAAAATACAATATTTCTAATATCAAATGAATGTTTTCTCTAAATTAAGTCTTAAGTTCTTATTAAAAGTATTTGATTAGCACTTTTGTTAAGTGCATATATACGTTGATATTCTGACCTGTTAGGAGTTATAAATCGCCTTGGATCTTATTTCTTATTAAAACGTTTGTTATTATTTTTAGATCAAAAATTTTTATCAAGTTTGTTTACAGTCAGAAAAAATTAAACAAAAATAAATATAAAAAAATACTCTTGAATGATTTGGCTTGAAGGATATCAAAATAATACTTACGTCTTTACTGCATTTGAAATATAAATTCATTTAGTACTCTTACTTTTATTAAAAATTCTTTAATAATAGTCTAAACACAGTCTGTGCTTGAGTCTTAAAACTGACTTAATTTTGAATTATATTGAATTACTAGAAAAGCTGATATGTCTTAAGCATTACTTAAACCATTATTGAGACTTAAGTTACGATCATCAAAATGGCTCTAAACCTTTTTGATTTACTCCAAAAAAATATTTGAAATTTTTATCAGTTTGCTTGTGCTGTCATTTCAAAGACTGAAGAGAATTTCCATATGGCAATCCCGTTTGAATTATTTGACCATAAAATAAGGTATATCATATTCTATACAAAGCAAAAACTCATAAGTCAGAATAATTCATGGTGACATTTCATTAATAACTTTCCACAGATCAGCAGTCAAATGAGTCCAGTAGTGACAGTGCTTGATCATTATTTAGGTTTACAACTATGTAAAGTTATCCGTATAATGGTTCTTGTATAGCACCACATTTCAGTGACATATACGAAATGGAGCAATCTTCCAAAATCATGATACGTTTACATTAAGAGTTGTCATGATATTTAAGGTTATACATTCACAGAGTCTTAAAACCATATATTGTTAACAAATTCATGGTTCTGATATCATGATTTCATTTCAATAATATATCAAATGAAACATTCAGCTAATGTATCAAACGTTAACTTTAAAATTTGCCATTTTGAAATGTGAATCGTTTAACAATCGCTCAACGTGTTAAAATTGTAAAACGCACAACTGACGCTGATATCTGTTAGTTAGTTATAGAACATTTTGTAAATTAAAACAATAAAATATTATTTTGTTTTCGTTGTTATTTCAAAACTTATTTATTTTATTAAAAAAAGTTTACCTCAACCCGAACACAGCACTTTTAATATCGATTAAGTGACCAAAAACAATCTACTGAGTATTTTGAGGAGATAGATATACTTCGATACAAGATTTTAAATATTCTGTAGAAGAATATTCTGTATATCATCATAAAATATTTAATTATTTTAATTTTAATTGAAATAAAAGTGAACTATATCCAGATAATAAACGAAAAAATAAAATCATTATAGAACACAGGTCGGCAAACAAATTTAAAGTTTAATCATAAAATATATTTCTCTGAAATAGTTAAAGATATATGTTGCTAAGTCAAGTTAATCTGGACAGTGGTTGACCTAACCCACATCTGTAATTGTCAATAGATGGCCTCACTAGAAGTTTCTATTTCAAAAAGGTCTTGATTGCATTCAAGCTCTGAGTCGGTGTTGATTAGTCAACTGACCCAAAGTTATATTTGACTTGTATGTTCGAACTTGGAATTTTGTTAATTTGCTGTGAAAGTTCATTAACAAATTCACTTGTTCTGTTAGATTAGAACAAAATTCTACTAGCAGTAGAATAATTGAATTAACTAAACAGAGCAATTTTTTATTGGCAAATTTCAATACTTTTCTTTCGTAGAGACATTTGTCGTATGATTTTACATTATTCTTTCTTGTCTATAGAAATTTGTGTAGGAAAGTAATACAGAGAAATGTAATCCATTATGTGTTATTAAACATAATTTATTAAATTATAATTATATTAGCAAAAACTAATCATAAATTTTAATATCATTCTCAATAATTATAATCAACTTGTTACCCAAATAGCTTAAGGTATCAAATATTTTTACACCAAAATTTTCTCATGCGTTCGAATAGAATAACATAAGCCTTTTGTAGACTCATAGCAATTTAGAGAGCTTTAAAAAGCATTCCTCCAAACCATAAAAAAGATTCTTAGAAGTAAGAATTTTAAACCAATTAAATTCACTCTAATCGAATTAAGTGCTAATGCACATAAAATTTAATGACTCTTTGCGTGCCGACAACAGATTTAATTGAATTAAAACGGCAACGACAATTTAATACTCAATTTCAAAAGAAATTTGTTTGGAATGTGAAAATGTGCGCCACACAGAAACAATAATATCAACGCTAATTTTTCCACACTTAAAATCCAACCAGCCTAAGTCAAGGCAGTCCGACGTGTGCCCACATTCGATAAAATCACTCCATGGAAATGTGTCGACACTGGTACACGCTGAGAACACAGAAGATGAGGAAGCTGTGACATATGGACATATGAACATATGCACACTTAATGCAACCCTTCCACACTAATTGCATATAAATATATTCATCCATGTGTGTGTCCGTTTCGAAAACTGATAAGCAGCAAGTATCCATTAACTATATGCAATACTCTAGGGATTTCGGAAAATGAATTTCCTTTATTTCCTAATATGAACTCCATGAAATTTCAACAGCAATACCTATACCCACAACAAAAGCAACAAGAACAGTCCAACTGCATTAGCGCCAGAGTGTGTGCACCTCAAAAACTCATAAAAATTGTTTAGAAAAAAAAACGTAGTGCCATTGAGAAATATTTAGACAACTTTTCCCCATCAACATCAACATTAATGTCAACTCACTCACCATCATCGATATGCACACACGCATACACACTTGCAGTAGCAACATTTACAGTTGCTTGCTCATAGCCTTACAGCTTCATATCTACGGCTACGTACAGTACGGCTTAGCTGCACTTGCACTGAGGTTGACTGAAGCTGAATGAGTCTGACTGATGCTGAGTGAGACTGTCTGATGCTGAGTGAGGCTATCTAAGGCTGTGTGAGTCTGACTGAGGCTGACTGCTGCAGTTGCGATATTTTAGCGTCATTGGATTTTGATATTGAACGTCATTTGGGCTCAACCGAAACTGTTCCCTTTCTTCAAGGGGTTAATTCAACTGTCAAAGCTGTCAATGGTGTCACACTAGCACTGGTGTTCAATTTTGTCGGTGTTTGTCAACGATGCCTATTGTAATTGAGATTCATTACAGCAGCAGTAGCAGCAACAGCCACGGCTACAGCGACAGCGACAGCGATATCAACAACAACACTAACATCAGTACACCACAATAGTAACGTTTAATAGCATTAAAGTGCAATACATTTTCACTTACTTGTTAGGCACAGTAAATGACATGCCTGCTTTCAATTTAAACTAACAGGGCAAGATTACAGCAAACAGACAGACATACAATCCCATTGACAGAACGGCAGGCAATAGAAGATCTCAAGTACTTTTGAACTTTTTAATGATGCACATTTAGTCAAGTGCAGTTCTTTGGTTTCTTCATATTTAACGACTATTTTACTCCCAAAGTGTTTCAATTTAATTTATATTTGTTGTCATTGTTATTGTAATTGTAATTGTTACTTCCTACTAATTGTTGTTGTTGTTGTTGTTGTACTAACTCATTGAATAGTTGTCTTTTTCACTTAAAATCATTTCATTTAATTAGATTTGAAGTGTCATTTCTTGTGCCTACTCTCTGTTCTTCCGCATTCGAACGTTCGATGACATCCTTGAGCACTTAAATTCTGAGATACAAAAAATGTAAGAATATCTTTTTTCTTTTTGTTAGGTAATGAAATTGTATTTAATGTTGACATAGAAATATTTTAAGTGGTATTTTGTAATGTACTTTATATAAATAAAGTTATGTGAATTTTGTTTGTTGACAGTGTCTTTCCTTATATCAACGATTCTCAAGTGGTTGTATAGATAAATTGCGTTTCCAATATCACACTAAAAATAATGTCTAAGGGAGAGTAAGGGAAAGGGATGAAAATTAATTAGAAATTTTTGATGTTTGAAAATTAGGTTGTATATTATGTATAAGTCGGAGTTTATTTTATTATACCAAAAAAAAAAAAAATTAATTAGTAGTAAATCTTATAGACAGAAAATAATATGCATATATTTTCAATACTAAGGAAGACAAGTTTTCAAAGGTTTGTATCTAAAATTTTTTATATGAATTAATTTTATGTTCGAAAGTTATTATAAAATAGACATGTCAAAAGATTACTGAGCTTCAAATAAACTTTCAGTTATGATGTGAAATGCATATTTAGATGACTGATAATCCTTTCAGCAGACTGCATATGTAGTCCAAATGTGAATTAATAAATTGAATTAATAAATGAAATAATAATAAATTTCACCTTTGTATAATTGAACATCTAGAGAGCCAATCTAGACAGCTGAGCACCATAGAAATGGTGTTTTTAATTGGTAAAACTGGATTGAATCTAGATTTACTCTCGATCAGTCAAGTTTTGTTGAACATTCGATCGTTTTTACAGTAATCTAACATTTTTGTAGTAAAGTTAGTATATATTTATATGTTTTATATATTTATATATCGAATGAAATCGTACTTCAGCTGTCAAATCATATAAAATAGCTGTTAAATTTGGTGAAATCTCACTACTCTGTCAAAATGTCTAAAGTGTTATAAATTCACTTCGAGTGTTATACATTTTGCTCGAGATTTACCAATCGAAAATGGAAATTGGACAAAAAATGAATCTCGATTGAAAAAATTACCTCAGATTTATAGACTAATAGAAATAAGTACAAATAAGTACAAATAAGTCTATAAATTTTCAACTTTAATGTAAAATCAAAGCTACTTACGATAGTTGGCTACTTAATCCCAAATCCAAATTATCGCTACAAAATAAAATACTTTTATACAAGGTCGTCTTAAAGCCAATCTGGACGTACGGTATACCCA